GAGCTGGCCCGGCAGTTTGCAGCCCAGTTCGTCTCCTCGAAGGTTTACGCGAGGAACGCAACCCACCTGATGTCCATCAGGCAAAGGCCCGACGAGTCGCTGAGGAATTTCATGACCCGCTTCAATGCGGAGAGCTTGCAGGTCAGGGACAAGGACGAAAAAGTGGTGATGGCCGCCTTCACAAATGGGCTCAGGGTGGAGGAGCTTTTCTACGATCTGGCCAAGAAGCCTCCCGCAAACCTGGAAGAGCTCCTACGCAGGGCCCACGAGGCTGCCAACGCGGAGGAAGCGGGTCGCCTAAAGAAAGAGTCAGATCGGGAGATCGGAGATCGTAAAGGCCGGACCAACCCCCTGGAGGGCAAGGAGGCCCCGGCTAAGAAAAACGTCTTTGATCGGCTCTCGAAGGAGAAGACCCCTGCTCTGCCACCACTCTCAGAGAAGACCTACACCCCCCTAACACGGCCCAGAGCTCAGATCTTGGCCGTTATGGAGGCCGAAGGGTTGGGAGATCGGCCGCCCAAGATGGGGACGCCCCGGAACAAAAGGAACCAGGACCGATATTGCGCCTTTCACCGTGACGTCGGACATGACACGGAGGGCTGCTGGGCCCTGCGTAAGGAGATCGAGGACCTGATCTAACGCGGCTTTCTAGGTCGGTTCGTACGCCGACCAGGACAAGAGTTCGGACGCAACCCTTACGGAGACAGGCGCGAGGGACAGCGTCGCGACCGTCCAGAACGGCGTGAGGCTCCTCGGAACCACTCTCCCGACCAGGACACCCAGAACTTGGCGGGAGTGATAAACACCATCGCGGGAGGCCCCACGGGGGGGGACAGTCATGCAGCTCGGAAGAATAAGCGGCCACCTCCCGAAGGGGACGACTCCTTGAAGCGTCTGCGCATGGACGAGGAGATTACCTTCGGACCAAGGGATGCGGTTCCCTTGGCTTCCGGGAACCATGAAGGTATTGTGATAGACATTGTCACCAATAACTACCGGGTGAAGAAGGTGTATGTCGACCAGGGTAGCGCGGTTGACATCATGTTCTATCGCGTGTTCAAGGAGCTCGGACTAAGGGATGACCAGCTGACCCCGGTCCGGACACCTCTGGTGGGCTTCACCGGACCACCCATCAGCTCGGAGGGAATGATCACCCTGATGGTCACCGTCGGACAGGCCCCCAGGTGCCGGACCATTCTCGTTGATTTCGTGGTGGTCAAGCAGTCGTCCCCCTACAATGTGTTCTTGGGGAGACCCGCCCTGAACGCCCTCCGAGCTGTCTCCTCTACTTTCCACCTCAGCATCAAGTTCCCCACCCCTGGGGGGGTAGCCGAGGTGCGCGGCGACCCAGCGGTAGCCAGGGCATGCTACCTGGCCACGCTTCGGGGGCATGAGAAGGTGGTCGCCCAGACAACCTGTTTGGAACCCTACATCCCAGGGGATGAGGCCCAGCAGCTAAGCACCCAAGATGAGATGGAGGAGTTCCCCCTAAGGGAGGATCGGCCCGATCAGATTCTCCGCATTGGAGCCCTGTTGCCCGCCAAGGAGAAGGAGAGTTTGAAAGCTCTGTTGAGGGAATACTCCCAGGTCTTCGCCTGGTCGGTGGACGACATGCCCGGGATCCCCACGGACCTGGCGGTCCATCACCTCGACGTGGACCCTCACTTCAAGCCAGTAAAGCAAAAGAAAAGGAGTTTCGCCCCCGAGAGAAATGATGTGATCAGGGCGGAGGTTGGCAAGTTGTTGGAGTCCAAGATTATCCTGGAGGTCTACTACCCGACCTGGCTGGCCAACCCCGTCCTGGTCAAGAAGGAGGACCTGACCTGGAGGATGTGTGTAGACTTCACAGACCTTAACAAAGCCTGCCCAAAGGACTGCTTTCCCCTGCCTCGAATTGACAGGTTAGTAGACTCTACTGTGGGCTTTGACGTTTTATGCTTTCTGGATGCCTTTAAGGGGTATCACCAGATAGAGATGGCCGAGGAGGACCGGGACAAGACCTCCTTCATCACCGAGGAGGGAACCTACTGCTACAGGACCATGCCCTTCGGATTGAAGAATGCGGGAGCAACTTACCAGCGCCTGGTGAACAAGTTATTCCGAAACCAGGTCGGCAGGAGCATGGAGGTTTATGTGGACGACATGATCGTCAAAAGTCGAACTGACCAGCGCCTCATACCCGACCTGCGGGAGGTCCTGGACATCCTACTGAAGAGCCGGATGCGCTTAAATCCGAAGAAGTGCACTTTTGGGGTCAGATCGGGAAGGTTTCTCGGTTTCCTGGTGTCCCGAGACGGAATCCGGGCCAACCCGGATAAACTCCAGGCCATCATGGACATGGCCCCTCCGAGGAGCGTGAAGGAGGTCCAACGGCTAACAGGAAGGATGGCCGCCCTGAATAGGTTTCTCTTGCGCTCCGCGGTCCGGGGGCTGCCCTTCTTCCGAGTACTGAAAGCGCCGAAGGACTTCCACTGGACTGAGGAGTGCCAGAAGGCCTTCATCGACCTAAAAACATACTTGGCCGAGCTACCATCTCTGACAGCCCCAGAGCCGGGGGAGACCTTATTCCTATACCTATCCGCCTGCAACGAGGCCGTCAGCGCGGTCCTGGTGCGGGAGGATGAGGGGGCTCAGAGGCCGGTGTATTACGTAAGCCGAGCTCTACAGGGGCCAGAGACACGATACTCGCCAGCCTAGAAGTTGGTCCTTGCCTTGGTACATGCGGCACGCAAGCTCCGCCCTTACTTTCAGGCTCACGGCATTGTAGTCCTGACTGACCAGCCCCTGCGTCAGATACTCACCAAGCCAGAGGTCTCGGGCAGAATGACCAAATGGGCTGTCGAGCTAGCCGAGCACGACCTCAGCTATCAGCCCCGCAAAGCCATCAAGGCCCAGGCCTTAGCGGATTTCCTTGCTGAAGGGGCTAGCTTGAGTCTAACCGAGCTAAGCCCCCAACACGAGGAGCGGCTGCCGAAGGAGCCCTGGGTGTTGTTCGTGGACGGGGCCTCCAGCAAGGAAGGAAGCGGGGCTGGTCTGCTACTCATTTCACCCACCGGGGAAGAACTGACCTACGCCCTCCGATTGGACTTCCCCGCGTCCAACAATGAGGCCGAGTACGAGGCCCTGCTCACAGGATTGCGGATAGCCCACCAGATGGGAATAACCGCGATCCAGGCCAGGAGCGACTCGCAGCTCGTCGTCCTTCAAGTCCTTGGGGAGTACGAAGCCAAGGACGAGGTTATGAAGAAGTACCTGGCCAAAGTACGAGAGGCGGTGGCCTTGTTCCAAACGTTCGAAATCGAGCGGGTGCCAAGGTCCCAGAACAAGCGGGCAGACGCCCTTTCAAAGTTGGCATCCTCCTCATTTGCCCACCTGAGCAAGGAGGTATGGGTGGAGGTGCTAAAGCAGAAAAGTATCGATCAGGTCCAGGTCCTGACTATAGACAGCTCGGCCACCTGGATGACGCCCCTCATTGACTTCCTCAGCTCGGGTGCCCTCCCCGAAAACAAAGCCAAGGCACGCCGAATCCAGCTCCGGGCTGCCAAGTACACCTACACCGGGGGTACCCTCTATAGGAGGTCGTATTTGTCCCCCTGGTTAAAGTGCGTGACTCTCGGGGAAGGTGATTACGTCCTGCGCGAAGTCCACGAAGGAATATGTGCGGCACACGTGGGATCTCGGGTGTTGGCCAAAAAGTGCCTCCTTTTGGGCTACTACTGGCCCTCTGTCTTCCGAGACGCAGCGGATCTGGTCCGGAAATGCCGAGCTTGCCAGGTACACGAGTTTTGGTATGTACTTTCAAAAACCTTGGCAGAGGATGCTGCATGGAAATTCGCAAAGGAGCAAGGCATCAACATAATAACAATCAATCCAGGATTTGTCATTGGTCCTTTCTTGCAGCCATCTATTAATCTGAGTGTAGAAATGGTCCTCAACCTAGTAAATGGTATGCTCCAGAAATTATTAGATCACTTAAGTTATCACCATCCGTCTAAACTTATTTATCTGTGTTAGTCATAGGCTTATGGCTTTATCATGCACTAAAATCTTCTCTGTTATTAAACAACAAAGAATTTATTACTTAAAGTAAAACTGTAAGGCTCTGCTATCTTTGTATTGTGAACGAATACATAACTGACAGACATACGCAGAAATATGAACTGATATATCAAGGTATATGGTCTGATCAGCTGGTGATGTTAAAAAGGTTTGCTGTCTAACCTCTTCCTCGAAATTAATGTTGTGCATCTTCTATGCTTCAACATTATCCGTGGCAATTACAGGAAGAAAAACACTTGTGGGTGGACTATGTTATGATTTTGTCTTCCTTGAGAAAAAAAAAAAATTTGTGGGCAGAACTGACAGGAAAAATTCATTCTGTGTAGTCATTGCCTGTGTTTTAAGAATTTACTTGCTAATCAGATTTCTTTTATTATTTTCCCTATTGACAATAAATATTTCGACCCAAATAGCCACTTTGTACAATGACTTCAGGACTTGTAAAGCAAGAAGTGGTTGATTTTTGAATTATTTTGGAACAAAAAATTGCAAATATCTTATTTTTGTCTATCTAGAGGAGTAGTTTAGGGACAAGTATCTTCAGCTTTCGATGTTTAACCCCTGTTTTAGTTAAAGGACAACCGGTCTTGTCGTGTTTGTACTTGTGTTATTTGCCTAGTAATTGATCTTTCTAAAACTAAGACATGCTGTTAGCGCAACTGTTCTAGTAGAAGTTCATTGGAGTAATATTTCTTATGATCAACCAATAATTAACTATGACGGTTGTCTCAAGTGGTTCATTCCTCAACTCTCCCTCTTCATGGCTGTGGGCCTTGCATTGCACTAAAATAGAACCAAGAGACTCTCCAAAAAAAATAAAGGGCAGGCCGTTGATTCTAGATTTGAACATTTTCATCTCTGCCATTTGTTTATCCCCAGTGACTGAGACCATTGGTGTTTAATTGTACGTATACTTTAGTGCATTAAAAAGACGCTAGAAGAGATACATAATGATGCTACTAACTTAGGCACCGAATGCAGGGGCTGAGTCATTTCCTAATGGAACGCATAGATGGGTTGATGTTAGAGATGTCGCCTATGCACATATTCTAGCCTTTGAAGTCCCTTCTGCAAGTGGAAGATATTGCCTGGTTGGGAGATCTGCCCATGCCTCTCAGGTCATCAAGATTTTGCATGAACTTTACCCTTCTCACCAGTTTCCTAATGAGTAAGTCCTTTTTTCCTTGTCAATTTTGTCGGTGTAAGCCTTTACAGGCTTGTTGCTGTTGCAGTATATAGGTCCAAGATTTATCACATCTTTTTGTATCAATTTCAAGCTTAAAAAAAGTGTATCAAGTCCAGAATTTTCTGCATTTTTTGGTAGCACAGTATGCTCTTTCTCAGCTTCGTTTGTAGAATTAGGTTATTCTAATGACTAGGATCTCCTAATTGGTTCTCTGCAAATTATAGATGTTTGAATTCAGGTGGCTGTATTTAATTGGATTCAGATCAAGAAAAATTCTTTTCAGTAGGTCTTTCAAATTACCAGAACTTTGCAGAGCCAGTTTTTGATTTTGTCTTTTTCTAGTTTTAGTTCATAAGGAAAGTCAAACTTTAGATACATGAATCCCTTCGATTAATCCACGACGTTGCCCTTTGCAGAAAGTTTAAATGGATTATAACAAAAGTTATAGATTAAATGATCTCCATATATTAGAGAAATTTTGTACAAAGGCAAAATACTCGTTATTGTCTGCAACAGATTTTGCAGAGCTTGATTTCACATTAGCATTTCTTTTCACCTATGCTTTATCTACTTGTTAATTCTGAACTTTCTTAACCTTCTACAGGTTGTCCGATAACAGCAGCCTTATTATTTCAGACTGTACAATATCCAATGACAAGGCAAAGAATTTGGGAGTTCACTTTATCCCTTTGGAGGTCAGCTTGAAAGATACGGTTGAGAGCTTCAGGGAGAAGAATTTAGTTAGTATCTAAGCCTATTGTATTCAAATTACTATTAAATAAATGTGAAACATCATCCTTTGTTTCAAAGTGATAAAATAAGTTCAATCATGTAACTCGTCATTTGTTCTTCATTGTTAATTTGATCATACGCAATTCAACTCTCATGTTCTGAATTCAATTTGTAGTATCTGTTGTTCTTCAGATATGTCCTGTCTTATCAACAGCTGCTGCATGAATACTAGGTGTGTGCCCTCACGGATGCGTAGGGGTGCCAAGATAGGTGTTCGGGATACTGTTGAGTGTTCATTGGTAGTTTTCATTCTAATTGAAAACATAATGAAGACAATTCAATCTAAGTTGGAAATGTTACTGGAAAACTTGCAAATGTAATTTGCAGAAGGTAAATATCCAAACGGAATTATGAGAAACTGAATTAAGACAATCAATACTGCTTGACATTTCAATGGCTGAACATATGTTTCTTAATTTCTTCAAAAAGGTCATCTAAGTTTATTTGGATACAGGCAAAGCTAAGACAAAGCGACCATGAATTGCATTGAGCAAATGATCAGGAATTTACTGGATACAAGAAGTGTTAAGATGTATGATGATGAGAATGTGTGAGATAAAAGAGATCATGCAAGCATGAAGAATAGATCAGTAAACCATATGTTTGGATTCTGGCCAAGAAGTTAGGCATGAAGCCGCTAAATTTTGGCAAAGAATAGATGCTTATTTACTATGTCTATTCTTAGGCAGCGCAGAACTAGGCATGTTTAATTCGGTGCCTAGTTCTTATGCACCAAAGAATCTAACTTAGGTACCGAATGCAGCGGCCACTAAATTTAGGCCTTGTTTGATAATCTAATTCAGCACTTAAATTTAATGGATTCAAATTTTAATAGGTTCAGCTGCGTTTGATAACAAAAAATTGAACATCGGAATTAATTAAGTAGCACTGAATTTTTCAAACAAAACTTGCTCCCAGAATTAAGTAATAAGCTATTCATTTATCACTGAATGTGATATATAGTCAAATCTATTAGATTTAATAATTAATAATTCAATATTGTAATGAATTCAGACTTCAAATGTTAGTTTTTAGACTTCAATTTTATCAAAAACACCTTTAGTCTTAGATGCTCAAAGAACTAGGCATGGAGCCGCTAAATTTTTGAAGAATTTTATTGAAGACAACTACTATTATCTCAGGTACAGCACAGCTCATGAGTTGAACTGACATAATGCTTATTTACTTTTAACAATAAACAACATCCGAGAAGAATGGAAATAGGTTAAGTAAATCCTAGAACATAGGCCTAACACCTTGAGAAATCTATATGTTTGGATAGAACAGTAAAATATATGTTTGGATTTTGGCAAAGAAGTTAGGCATGGAGCCACTAAATTTTGGCAAAGATTAAATGCTTGTTTACTTAGTCACCGAATTCTATCACTATGTCTATTCTTAGGCACCAAAGAACTAGGCATGTTTAATTCCGGGTGCACCGAAGAATCTAACTTGGGCACCGCCTAACGGCCTAACTTAGGCACCGAATGCAGGGGCCGCTAAATTTAGTCTTAGATGCTGAAAGAACTACTAGGCATGGAGCCGCTAAATTTTTGAAGAATTTGATTGAAGACAACTACAATTATCTCAGGTACAGCACAGCTCATCAGTTGGACTTAACATAATGCTTATTTACTTTTAACAATAATAACAACATCCGAGAAGAATGAAAATAGGTTAAGTAAACCCAGGAATATAGACTTAATGTTGGATCCTTAATTCAACGTTGGACTTTTATGTGAATAATTATGTGTTGCAAACTGTCAAATAAGGTTAAATCTAATTAAAGTAATCAAATATCGTTTGGACTTAATGTATCTAATAGTGTGTGGGCTTTTAATGTGTAGAGATTTAAAGGTATTTCCTATTTCTATAATGGGCTAAAATAGGGATCCATATGGTAACAGGAATGTTATCTATAAATAGGGTTATGGTCTCCAGGTCACAGGTATTCTTATTATCGTATTTTCTAGTACCACAAAATAGTTTTTTCCTGATATCCCATCTCCAGGAAAAATATCAGAGAGAAACTAAAGGATTCTCTCAAGAATTGGTAAATACGTGTTGACCCGGAAGGCCACTCCAAAATCTTCAAGGATTCAAGTGCCAGTTTGTCAACTTGAATTCAGGTACGCTTCTGCTATTTTACTGTTAATTTATTTCTTAATAATCGCCATATAGATTTTGGATTCAATAGGCGATGGCTTTCACCAAAGATTAATATAAATTACCACCCTAACAAGTGGTATCAGAGCTAAATATGGTTGATTATTGAGAAATAATTTGAATTTAGTAATTCATATTTTTTTAAGAGTTATAATTAATTTAGGTTTCGTTTGCACCGTTGAAAGTTTTTGTTTCGTAGTTTTTTTTTGGTCAAGTTCCATGATTGTTTCATGAAACGGCTTCGTGTTTCGGATTTCATGTTTCAGCTTTGCCATTTACTTTTGGAAGTCTTGGCTGCTGATGGCATGAATTAATGTGATAAACAATTGCTGTTCTAACTGCATGTCGTATAAATTCATCCATAATGTTTTCTGTATGCTTTGGTCCAATTACATCATATGATTCGTGAATTCGGTCAACACTTGAATCTAGTGAGCTCCACGGATTCTTACACATGAATTGATATGATATTCAAGTAGGCTCCATGGTAATTAAACTTTAGCCACGATTCATTGATATTTTAGTGTGCCAACTTTCTTTATAAATTAATTTGGATAATATTTAAATTCTTTGAGTTGTTTTCTTACGTAATAAAGCTAATATGCATATATTTATGTTAAGGATATTAGGGTTTCTTTAATTTAAGTGAATCCTAATAAAGTTAAATAAGACATTTAAACCCTATTAAAGTTCATATGTTTGGCCCACTAAATATATAGTTTTATACGACATTATGGATTTCAAGAAAATTTTTGGGATTGAATGATAAATTTGAGTTGAATTATGGATATGGACTTTTGGTCCAATAAGTTTTGATCCAATTTGACTGGTTTGACCATGTTTGACCACATTTTGACCAAAGTTGATCAAAGTTGACTTTGATTAAATTTTTGTTTAATTTGTATAATTTTAAATTTGAATATTGGTATCATTATATATTTTTTGAAATAAATTAATTGAAACAATATGCCACCAAAGTGACCTCTATTGCGAAAATTAATTTATTTTAAAATATAATTAATTGGGTACTTATGATTTTATGAATATTGATCAGTCCAAAGGAAGGTCAATATTTAATAAGATTGCATGTGCATTTGTGGTAACAAACACGTGATAATTATTCGCTTTTTACATGTAAATTATAAATTGGCCCAAAGGAAAATTTATTTTTTGACATGTTATTATTGTCAGTATTTATTACTGTACCAAGATATCACTTAGAAGTTAATATTTTGTCTAAAGATAAAATATTAATGGAATATCGGTATCTTGAGATGGGATTGCCATTATTTGAATTTATTATTATTTTGATTTATGTGAGTATAGTTTTAATTATTTTATATTTTCTGTTCAATTGCAAATGATCTTACAAATATTACTACTAACATAAAAAAATTTTGTTCAGCAAGCAACTTCCAAAAAAAAAAAAAGAAAGTTTTCTTTGATTTCCAAACTCCAGCCGTTGATGTTATTAAATTTTTTATTATGCATTTGGATTTTGAAAATTTCAACACCAATCATCACATGATGTGTGTTACTTGCAAGTCCACATGTGTACCATGAAAGTTTAATTGAGTACCATTAACACTTCTTACTAGATTGAAACTTCAATAAGAATAACAAAAGATTGGGACCCACGTGTCATATTCTTCTGGGGAGATGAAGACAAGGAAAATAAGAAGATCTTTCTCTTTGAATTGGACTCGGTGTGGGCAAATTAGAAACAACCAATAAACAGACACTAATCACTACAAGAAACATCTGAATTAGTGGCACCTATTTAATGGAACTTTTCAAGGGAACGCCATGGTTGAATCTTTCAAGGGAACTTCACTTCTTCACACTATGAAAATGCTAGCTCAACAGCATTTTTGCTGACCATGCCATCAAATACAAATCTGGCCACACTTGGTTGGCATTACCTTATGCGTCATTGGATCATGAGTTTTACTGGCATTTCCTAAAAAGTTTAAAATAAGCAAAATGAAAAAAAAAAAAACACAGTTCACTGTTTGATGAGATTTACTTGCCTTATTGATGAGGTTTCCTTACTTCTTCTCTTAACTGATAAGTATTAGAGTAAATCCTAAAAACATTGAAACTCACTGAAATTTTTTCAATCTAGCATTCTCCACAAAACTTTATCTACAAACCCTATCATCTAGCATCATAATTCCGTTGTCATCTACCATTATAATCATTAAAGGTACTTTTTTCCCTTTCTAAATCCCATAGAACAAAATAATGGTTTATAGGTTTTTGTTTGTTATAGCACAAAAGATTGGGACATATCTCTAAACGAAGAATGAAAAGACTTATATCAAATGAAATTCTCGACCCTTTGAATTTTACAGATTTTAATAATTATATTAACTGTATAAAGGGGAAACAAACCAATAAAAAGAGATTTGAAACCAATAGATCCTTAGACGTCTTAGAATTTATACATACAAATATTCGTGAACCATTTTCTACATATGCTTGGAATGATCAACAATATTTTATAACGTTCACAGACGATTTTTCAAAATATAGCCACATATATCTCATTTCAGAAAAGTCACAATCACTGGATGTGTTCAAAAATTTTAAAGTTGAAATTTAGAATCAACTCAACAAAAGAATTAAAAGCGTCAGATCTGACCGTGGTGGTGAATACTATAGTAGATATGACGATTTAGGTGAACAACGTCCAGGATCATTTGCTAAATACCTAGAGGAATACGGTATCATCTCACAGTATACTATGTCGGGATCACCCTTTATGAATGGTGTAGTTGAAAAACAAAATATAACGCTTAAAGATATGGTAAGAAGTATAATATGTTATTCTACCTTACCAGAGTCACTTTGGGAAGAAACACTTAAGATTGCAGCATATATTCTTAATAGAGTTCTAACTAAAGTAAC